GTGTGTGTGTGTGTGTGTGTGTGTGTGTGTGTGTGTGTGTGTGTGTGTGTGTGTGTGTGTGTGTGTGTGTGTAAAAACATTATCGACCTGTTGTTCAAATGCAAGGTGCCCAACCTTAAACCCCTCAGGCATCAGAGACAAACTGCAGAAGGAAAAACAAAAGAAAACGGGAATATTTCCTAATAGCATAAAACAAGAGTTTTATTAGAGTTATAGGACAGTAAAAATAAAGCATTATTGCTCAAACTGAAGACTATACTGACGTGATTTTTTTCCACCTTCTCATTACGCATAAAACTCTGCCTTTGAGAAACCCTCCACTGTTTGACTGTAAGCTCTTCAGAAAGATGCTCTCAGAACATTCTGGTTTATTAGATCTAATTTGCTTCAGCTCACAACCTGATGGTTCAGAAACGGACGCAGATGGGCATTTCATCAGAAGCATTGGGTCAGTTTCACTGCGCGCAGCCAGCTCCCAAACTCAAAGTAAACACAGAGGATTAATGAGCTGGAAGAAAGGAAAATAAAGTTTGTGCGCAAAAACTGACCGATTAGACTTTAAAAAAAAATAGGTATTTTACCTTCTATACAGCAGATCCTCCACAGCCCGGAGTGCGTCAGGTCGCCTTTGACTTTCTTGGTTTGCATCTGGGTTTCGTCGGCGGTGACATTGGTGGCGTTGCAGATGTACGCCCGGGAGTAGAGCCAGTAGTCGGTGCCGATGGCGATGGTCATGAGGCTGAAGGCGGCGAAGGCCCCCACCACGGCCAACAAAATCTGAACCCCTCGGTCACACCACGCCATGGCGCCTCATATCACGGTGCGCATCATCCACCCGCTGCTTCTTTTTTTGTTATTACGCGCGGCGAACGAAGACAAAGCAGCGCCTGATGCCAAACTGGAAGAGACGCACGCGCCGGGGTCCGTTATCAACCTCAAGAGTGGATGCTTTTCTCTCTTTTCTCCCGCTCCACCTTTCTCTCTCCCTCTCTCTCTTTCTGTAAACTTCAAGCTGAGTTCAGCCGGAGACGCAGCGCGCGGGTGTTTGCTGCTTTTGTTCTGTTCAGCTGAGAGCGACGATCCTTCCTACAGGTGGAAACATCGAAAAATAACAAACAGTCTGAAAACATTTTGAGTAAACACTCGAAAAACTGAAATAAAGCTTTCAAATAATCACTGTTCAACGCGCGCGCGACGCTTTTCTGCAGTTTATTGTCTGACATGAAAGCGCACAATAGACGCAGCATCCAGACCACACCTTCCGCCCGACAGGACCAATTGGATAACTGCTGCCTGAGAGACGAATCATCATTAGACACCAGCGGTGGTCATATATGGGCATTAAAAACATGCAAATTCTCTGGATCAAATTCTAAATGAATAATAAAAAGTGGCTACAGTCTGTGCGTAAACAGGAAGTTTGTCCAAAGCTTTGGGAAATACTTACATCAGACTTTACTCATTTTATTTGTTTCCTATGGAGCTGAGGGGATAGTGGAGCAAAATAATATTGAAGGAGCATAAATTAACTGCAGCTTATAAAGTATGCTATAAAAAAAACAATATTTTTATCAGTTGGAGAGTTCTGTTTTCCCCTTTAGAGTCTCACTGAAGGGGTTTTGTGGATTTGTTCGTTTGTGCATTAAAAATGAATTTAGAATTTGTCCTCTCTTTGGGGGGTCTTGCACTGAAAAACCCCAGGCTTTGGGTCACTTCCTGTTGCTGTCAAAACAGAGAGAGTCTGTTCGGAGTCTGAAAGAACCAAAAGATCTCAGTTATTAGGGAGGGTATACTAAAACAGGCAAACATTTGGTCCAAAAACATGAAAATGTTGAAACAGGAGATTAGGGAGGAAAAATTATTCACTATTTCACATTTAAAGTAAACATTTTTGCCCGAACTTTGAATGCTATCAAGCGTAAAGTAAGTGTTTGAAGTTTGTTGATAAATGTGTAAATGAAAAAAAAAAACTGGACTTGAATTATTTTAACCAGTGCTTCCTAAACTTTTCATCTTCTGACTCACAACACATCAGCAGCATAAAGTTGTTACTCCATATTTCGGGTTAAATGTACAAACATAGCTAACAGGCTGAAAAACAAGTAGAGAAACAGCTTGAACAACTGTAATATTTGCATCAACTTATAACATTGTTTTAAATCTATTTTACCAATTTATGGAAAAATTTAAACCATGAAATCGTTGTACTAAAATTATTCCTCACTGTGTTTCACATCCCACCAACTCCAACTTAACCAGTGAACATGAGAGCAGAGAAAACACAGCAGGTCAAACTAATTTCAGAGTTTTCATCAGTGTGAACATTTTTGAGTATATATTTATAGGAGACTATAACATATTGTAGATAAATACAGAATTGTGTCCCTAGTTAGTAAGTCCAGGCCTTATTTAGAAGTTATGTCACAGGTTCTGTGTTGTAATAGTTCTGAAAACGTATTGTATTTGTTCACGTATCATACTAGAAATTTAACCCTAAAAATCATCCATAAATTGTGTTTGTGTGTGTGTGTGGGGTGGGGGGTGGTATTAAACATGGGTTAATGATGATTAGATTTTTTATGCTTTTTAAGCTCAAAAAATTATGATTGAATTACTCGAGATCATATTATACATGAATAAATACGGCAATAGAAAACAGAGAAAACCGAACAGGTTGAAAAACTTGATCCAAACAGAATATAAAGATATCTACGCAGCACCTGGAGATATTAAATTCAGCTTTTCTGCACTCCTAGACACTCCAAGTCCAAAAGAAAATGTAGTTAATGACTAAAAAAGTGGATTTTCCATGATGTGTCCCTTATAAAGAAACTCAAATTAGTTCAGTGTAAAATTTTTATCTTATAGAAAACAGCATTGTCCATCCATCCGTCCGTCCGTCCGTCCGTCCGTCCGTCCGTCCGTCCATCCATCCATCCATCCATCTTCTTCTTCTTCTGCTTATCCAGAGTTGGGCAGCAGCCTAAGCAGAGAGACCCAGACTTCCCTCTCCCCAGCCACCTGGACCAGCTCATCCGGGGGAATCCCAAGGTGTTCCCAGGCCAGCCGAGAAACATAGTCCCTCCAGCGTGTCCTGGGTCTTCCTCTGGGCCCCCTCCCAGTGGGACATGCCCAGAACACCTCACCAGGGAGACATCCTAATCAGATGCCTGAGCCACCTCAACTGGCTCCTGTCGACGTGGAGGAGCAGCGGCTCTACTCTGAGTCCCAATTTTTAAAAGTTTTACAGACAACTACTTGAAATATGACAAAAGTAGGGGGGGAAATCCCATCAAAGTCACAACTCAGATTCAGGGATCCTCATTAAAGTTGTCTCAAGCGTAGAGCAGAGTTTAACACTGTGCTTTTTTTTTAGGTTGGCTGGGGGAGTGGGGGTCTTTGTTCCGTGGTTCTCCAGCCTGATGTTCCTCATGTGGTTGGCTTCTTTGAACTTGTTCTCACACTCAGAAAATCTAATCATAACTTTAAAAAAGACAATAAATCACCATGGTGATGTTCAGAGGTCATTTACCTTGTTCCTGTTTCTCATCACTCGTAATATGAGCGAGTGCCGACGCAGTTCGCCATTTCATCCAGCTAATTGATGTCTTTAATGCCGGCTCTCTTTTTTCCGTCACAGTAGTTTTCCCCACTTTCATGCAGGTTTTGGCTTCTGCTAACTGCAAACCTTCATCTGCTCTTTTTTTAACTTCTTTTATAAAAATTGCACTTTAGGCCTAAATAGCGCGTCTCAACTAGAGTTTCTTTTCTGGGAGTTTAAGTAGCTGCCACAGTCTGGCCTTTCTAAAAGAGATGCAGCCTTCTGCCTGCTAGTGCATCATTAGTGAATGTGCCAATGTGCTGGGGCCTTTTCAGTAGGAAACTAGAGGCCTTCTCAGGGAAGTAATTGGTTATTTCCTTTGAAATGATTTTGGCTAATTCAGATTGACTTTGGCAAAACCGAAGCATTTGAAATTGGATTCATTTGAAAAGAGAATGGGAGGAAAAGCTGGCACATTTGCAGGAAAAGCAGTTAATTGGCTTGGGATAAAAGCTTGTTTTCTGCTAAGAAGTGAGGGAACATGGAAACTACAAAGATGTAAAGAATCCAGACAGAGCATGCAGCTGAGAAAGGTTGTACAAGTTTCACCTGCAGGTTTAAAGCTGAACAGAACAAAAAAACAAAAACTGTTTTAGCCTCTGAGTCTAAACATAAAGTAGAACAGGAGAGAGAGTTTCTACATGACATCTGCTTTCATCAACACAAGAATTAGTCACATGTTTAATCGTTTTTAAGGTCAGAAAATCAAGCTTACTGCACCATCTAATAATTATAGAAAACTGTTAAAAACATAAATGAGACCACTGCCTGATGAAAACTAGTGCTCTGCTTTGTGTTTCCAGGAATACATGACAATTTATATGTAGAACAGACGAATGATTTGAAAGAAAAAACAAATTCAAACTCAGCGTGTGCAGAAAATCAACTACCCCTATAAGAATCAGAAGTCAAACGCTGCTAATTAAATAAACTTTGAAAGTGAGGTGAAATAACCACATCTTCTGGTTCAAGTGGAACTGCTGTTGCTCAATGAAGAGAGAAACTCTGAAACAGGCTGGTTGAACAGCAAGAATCTTTATTTTGCAGTCCAGGAGATTAAAGCCAAAAACCAAATTGTGGCCTTCTAAGCCAAATGATTCACCAAGTAAGAAAGATGAAGTACGAAGGCCAAGGGTAGGGGCGTACAAGGCTCTTTATAGGCTTCACAGATGTACCATAAATTTTGTCACGGTATACCTTAAGCATTCCTCTTCCTAATATGGTAATATGTGCCGAGGTCTGAAACTGGAAAACCAAGAGAAATCACACCTGTGCATTCCTGAGAAGAGCTCCCACTCTTGGACACTACAAAAGCATTCAGAAGTGTTAAAACAATGAAGAAAATTAAAGACATAAGTACTGATCTCAGGGGAATAATGCTGATGACAATTAATTTAGAATGGTTATAAGATTTTACAATCAACTCAGCAGTGGGAAACATTATGCATCTAATAGGAAAATCATTCAAAACTGGTAAAAATACTGTTCTTTGGGGAGATAACACCAACATGGAGATGCTTGGACATGCACAAAACCTGAATGTGGGAAAATATTTTTACAATCTTCATGCCAAGAGTCATAACCAGTGGTGGAGGGGTGATGGTTTGAGATTGTTTTGCAGCCACAGGTTCACAGAGTCCAACAAAATCTTCTCTGAGTCACAAAAACACATGAGAAGGTCTAAATCCAGATGAGAGAATATTTTCAGGGTGATGAAAATAAATTTTTTTTGGTCAAAAATGGACAAATCTTCACCAAAAATGAAAAGGATGGAACACAGCAGCTATAAACACACAGGGAAGTGGTGGCGCATAAAACCAAGTGTTCGAATTGCTAATTTAGGGCAGGTGTGATGAAAAAAAAGACATAAAACAAATCAAGAAGCAAAATGAAACATGAGCACAGATTTTAAAGTTATGCACAAAAAACCAACACAGGAGCACACGTAGGAAGCCTGAAGTCAAATTTACAACATTATGAAAGATAAAAAAGAAACAGTGTGAAACAGCCCCAGAGTGAAATAAAGGGATTATAGGAACAACTAGGCTTAGTGGAACCAGTTGACACGACTTTGTTGAGTAAATTCAACACTTCAGTTTTTAGAGTGTTGAAACATCTTTCATGATGAGTTTGAACATATTTAATTTTGTAACGAGTAACTAGGTGTTACATTTTAAAGTAAAGCAGTAAAGTATCATTTTTAGCTTTAAAATGTAATGTAATAAAAGTAGCTGTTTAAAAATAATTGGCAAAATTACAAATCCTCCAAAAAAACTACTGTAATGAAGTAAATGTACTTAGTTACTATAAACCTCTGGACTTTCTACTGAAAGGAAACTTCTGTCCCTGTTGTTCCTCACAAATCTGCAGATGATGGTGAAGTAAGTGATGTGTTTCATATTGCTGTTTGGCATAAACATGATTTGTTATATAGCACAAACTAATGTTAAACGCACTGCCATGAGGAGGTGAGCAGCCTCGCCTTTCTCTTTCTGTAACACCAGGTCCTGTTGAAGCAGTGACTGTTCGGCTGCAGCACTAACCGTGTTTCTACTGGGCCCCCGAGAAGCAGCGACAGACGAGTGTTGGCCTCCCCGGCACCGAGGCGTCTGACTTCGGTCTGTCCCTAATGCTGCGTTCACACCGAACGCGAT